ATTGAAGCATAGGAGCCATTCAGATATAGACTTTAAATGGTAACTATGGCAACTGATATGGTAACTAATAGTGGCTATATTTAGCTGACAGACAAGAAAATTTATCCCTTACTGAAAGGGGATTGACCTCACATAGAATCCCCTATACCTCCAATGCAGCCCGTAATTTTCCGCTCGGAATGGTATCGATAGATTTCGCGAAGTCTAAATATACGCCGTAGACGGAGTTCTTTATAGCCATCATATCCGTTACCCAATCCTAAAATTCTACCTAATTTGGTAGTTATCTTTCGTGAAGGAGGATTTCGGCTCTACTCCAAAGCATCACTAGGCGTCTATGTGCGGAGAGGCGTTGGTGTCTCTTGTGTAAGCTTTAACGCTACTAACCCCTCCTACCCCGTACGGAGTATGTTTCTTCAGGTTCGCCGACAAGAAATCCAGAGATTGACTGGAAATGAAGAGAGTGAGGAAATAAACGCTACTGTGCCATTGGAATCATTGGTGGCACCACGTCTATAGAATAGATTCCGTGTGGATCGATACGAATTATACAGGGAGAGCCGGAAATATCGAGTCCTTTGAAAATGAACTTATCTACTGAATCAAGAGGCAAAAAAGCTGAAACGGTGGAAATATGAACAACTCATGGAAATAGCATAACACGTACTTCAGTCTTGAAAATACTGTCTACATGTTCTCCCCTACAACTTACACTTTTGCTCGGACGAAGATATCGTTCATATCCGTGGTTAAGAGGGTCAGATCAATGGTCGGAATTTCTTCTCTGACATTCTCCTTGGATCAGAACAAGGTCAAAGGCCGGTCAGCTTATGCCCTGGACTTCATGTAATCAGGGCAGCGAAATTATGCGAATTTGAGAGCCCGGGGAACGTGAACCCTACTTGAAATGACTAGGCCGGAAAACATCGCAAGCGATGCATTCATGACTGACATTTTGTGTGGCACGCAGCCCGATCTTGGAGTCATATCCTAGGGTGAGTGCTGCAAATGTGGGCACTCTAAGGAAATTCTTCACTTCCACCTTGCTTCCTGGTTTTCGCAATGGAGCTTCGTCGTTCATATCTGGTCTCGTAGCAGCCCGATCTTGGAGTCATATCCTAGGGTGAGTGCTGCAAATGTGGGCACTCTAAGGAAATTCTTCACTTCCACCTTGCTTCCTGGTTTTCGCAATCCTCGAAGCAGCAAGTATAGACCAGAGCACTATGGAAATAATATCTGGAACATGGCGTTTGGAGCTCACGGGTACGGAAAGTAAAGGCTCCCGGACCCAGTTTCCACTTCGACCCAGTCTACAACCGAATCTCGGCACACTTGCTGGTATCGACGGCACCACCCTGTCGGGAATCACGGCACACTTATGTGTCACTATCGTTTACAACGGACTCAAGAATGAATGCAACGGCCTGATAAAACAATACCTAGTGTGGAAGAGAAGAAAGGAATGTGCAAAAGCTTAGCAAAATCCCAAGATTTCGCAGGATTTTTGAAGTGCGCTTAGGAAAAGTGGCCACTGCGAGAAAACTGCAACAGCAAATATGGCTGTTCCAAGCACATGTTAACAACATTAGCCCTACCATCTGAGAATCCTTATCTGCCCGTGCCTAGGGGACTAATAGTGGAAGCAGAATTTTGGTGTTTCCGAAGTGCCGAGATTACCCCCAATGTCGACATTCGCAGCAATTACCGTATCGACATTTACGACCTCAGCGACTTCAAGAACGACTTCTTTACACCCTTCGGAGACTACCATCGCAAGGAGTAAGCAAACATGGAGACTTTTAGTCAAGAAGGGTTCTTTTTTAATCGTGAAACTGGTGTAATAAAAGAGGATCCGAATACCTGTGATATTATCTACATGAGTTGTTCTTTATAATCCCATCACTTTCAACTTCTTTCGTTTCTTTGTTAAATGATCACATTCGCATTTTGTGGTCTCGTTTCCGATGTGCCGTCCTTTCAAAGCTGTTGGGTTTGGGGCTACAGCACCAATATATTTATAGGCGCTCCCAGGCACATAAATCCATTCATATTACACACACATAGATTCATAGATTCTGTATGGTTTGAGGAGACAGAGTGCCTCGCTGATGCTGTGCACCTCTTAGAGTAAGAGGTCGACATTTACATGAAATATCCATTATGAGGACTTGGGAAGTATCTTAGGGGAACTGGATGCTTTCAGGAATCAGTGCAATGTCGCAATAATGGAAAGATCCTGATNGCTGTGCACCTCTTAGAGTAAGAGGTCGACATTTACATGAAATATCCATTATGAGGACTTGGGAAGTATCTTAGGGGAACTGGATGCTTTCAGGAATCAGTGCAATGTCGCAATAATGGAAAGATCCTGATTCAAAACAGCAACCTTCCTCAGAGGAAGTGGAAGACCCTAACCCTTGAGGATAGCTTTTCATACATCTCTCTTCCAGGCTCTCTTTCTAACTTCTACTTCGCCTTTAGAGGTATCCTCTATCGAAATTCATTCTGAGCAGACGGTGTTCCGTCTGCTCAGAATCACTCCGAATCCCTCAGATCGGTTTAAATTATTATTATATGCGAGATAGGAGAACTGGAGCCGCAGAGTAGAATCAGATAGATAGTCTTGTCAAAATTCAATTAAAGGAGAATGTTCAACTGTACATTGACAATTTAATCTTACAGCTAACCCTCGATATACCGCCACCCTCGTTCATCTCGAAAGCTTCTCTGAAAACAAATCTTCCCCATAAGCTTATCATAGGTGATCCCCGGTATAACACCGACCACGCCACCCGCAATTCGACGGCAGGCGGTTGCGGTTATAAACATGTTTGTACGAAAATAGTTGCATTCAGAAGGAACTAATACTCAGTTCATCGTATAGACAGCGTTGGGAACGACTTTTTTAGATTTATGAACAACGGGACTGTCGACCTGGTCGTGAAACAGATAGCGAGACCGTGAGAGGTGATTCACATCCGTGGAGTGGAATGTGCATAAGAAAAGTGCGGAGGATCGGAAGCGGCTAAGGGTGACGATATAAGCTTCTCATCCATTTAGTCAATTTGTCTTTCGGAGCCAATAGCATAATGTGGTTCATTCAATATAACGTCACTCGCGTTACAGCGACGAATCGGCGACGACCAACAGTGACGTTATATCAAAGGTTTACTGTATTTTCATAGAAGGATTTCAACATCCGGTCAAGACAAAACGTCTCTGCATATTTATTTTGAATCTTGGAGTAATTAATTCTGTTCCTCCACTGCAACATGATTCTTCGCCAATTTGACTTCGGAGCATGGGCGTCTGCTGATTTATTCCCGGAGGAGGGAGGGGGAGGGGGGGGCAAGGCACAATAGTGACAGAGCAGATGCACACACAAGGGTGATTGTGTCTTTTGTAAAATGATAAAAAAGTACAAGATTTCTGCACTGATTAGCTGAAGGTACAGCACGATACAGATAATTATACCAGTGACAACAATTATTTATTAACATTCAGTATAGCAACCTTAAGAGTATATAGTACTTTTCAGTATAGAGTGCCTTGGTAGGGCCCGATTAAATCACAATATTTATAAGAGAAAAGCAAGTGCTTCTCCAATGCAGTAGTTGGTAGAAGCAATAATAGGCAGTCCTATGTCTATGCACATTAAAATCACATTGTTACAATTAAGTAAATACGAGGGAACAATGATCAGCAGTCATAGATGTTGGCACATTAAAATCACATTCTGTTGCGAATGTGAATTAAGTAAACCAGTGCACTTGATATTCGGGTCGTGTCTGAATGACGAACTACAAATCAATATCACAAAATAGTGTGCCCTGAGTTGAGAAATCTTACTTGGGCCTCAAAGGACCCCTTACCCGTAGACCTATTATACAACTCTTATGTCAGACAATGAGACAGCCCAGCAAACAATTTGAAACACATAACGTTAAATCAATATTGAATCAACGTTCGTAACGTTGGTACAACGTTGGTCCAACGTAGCCTTGTTTGCTGGGAGGATCTTCTACTCCTTAAAGAGGAACAGCAGGCGCCTCGTTTACAAAAATAACAAATCTATCTGCAAAAATGTAACCCTAAGTTTCTAACGTACGGGTGCCTTCTTCAAAGCTTTTATTTTTTTTTTAGCTAACTGGACAAAAATAACTACCAAGGCGCAGGTATAGGCTCACTCGACTTGGGCAGGCCTACCGTAGGCCTAGTGCGAACGACCTACAACGAAGACATGAAATAGTCATTCAGCCTGGGATACTTGTACTCCATATTTTACGATAACGTAGCACTACGAAAGTACTGTACGGCGCAAGAGGAAACTTGATTTTTCAGTATTCTTACACTCACACTATGGACTCGCCTTGCCATGGCGACGTACGCGATGTCACGTAGAGCAGTAGTGTTACTAGAGCCTCTGGACCAGATGGGTTGAGTTGAATTTTTAACTCGTTAGGCGTAGTAGCGCCATCTTTTGGTAGGAAGAATAAATATACTTTGCTTGATAAGATTGGAAACGATATTTCATATTGCGCGGCAAGATTATTCTAAATGGTGCTACGGAAGAAGAGATTTCCGCATTAAGTACATTTAACTTATTTCTTTTAGTACTACCAGTAAATTACCATGCCCGACTTCCAGGGGGAGACAAGCGCCCCCCTCCCCCTTGCCCCTTCGAGCGGACGCCCATGCTTCGGAGGATAACATATTCATCACTGCCATGAAGCAAAGGGCGCCAATGCTTTCACACCCATTGCACAAACACTGAGAGAAGACGGAATGACTCACCTGTCCCGCATTGGCATGAAGGTATTGATCGTTCGATTCTTTCCCCCACGAACATTTCACCGTCTGACCGTTGACTTCTGTGTTGTGAATGGACACGATGGCGTGAGCGGCAGACTCCTTCGATGCGAACCTTTAAGAAGCCATGTTGAACATTTGTACTCCGTTTGTTTCTTAATGAGAGGGGGTGATTGGTAAGGGGATTAGTTTTACCTAATGAAAGCGTAACCCTTTTCTTTGAAGACTCGAATCTCTTGGATGCCACCAAAGGGAGAGAAAGTCTTCCTGATGAGTTCCTCACTCAAGCCCGTCATGACCCCACCACAATAAACGGTCGTGTTCGTTGGACTGCTCTTGTTATACACCTCCTCGAACGTGTACTGCTTCTGGCCTGCAATGAGTACGTCTCAATGCATCCTGCATCCATTCCGACTTGTTTGGCTTTCCCATGGATTTTCATGTTCTGGGCGAACATGCAATTAAGATCCTGAATCCATATGTTTGTTCTACGGTGAGACTCGTGCCATCTGTTTCCACTGTTAAGTCCATTTCCCCTTCCCTCCTCCTGCGCTTTCTATCTTTCTACTACCTTCCTGTCTTTGTCCGTATTCTTAGTGCATGATACTGTTTTCACAGCAGGTGGAATCGCGAAGACATGCTCGGGAAAGGCTGGTGATGGTCTGGCATAACGAAGAAAAGCCGACTACCCATCCTTCTCTCCATCCCCCTCCCCCCCCTGCTGTCATTCCTCAGCGCTATATCCTCCATTTTCCACGAGTTTTCCTTCGCTTGTTGACACGAGCCCCAAAATCGGATTACTTTCTTCAACTCACTCTTCCCTGTAATTTCAAGATAGGATGAAACAGAGAGGGGGAGCCCCCCCTCTTTTTCCCCCATTTCCTCTATTCCTTTTTCTCTTTTTTTCTGCTTTTTCTTCCTCATTCCCCTCCTCCCTGTGGAGGTGGAGAGGAGAGGAGGGGGGAACCTGATCCAGAGGTTCGAAAGGGTTTTCTTTCTCAGAACAATAAAGAGGAAAGGAGTTTGTATTAGGGAGATTCCTAAGGAAACCGGATCTCCTCTGCATGGCGTCGCTTTCCCAGAGAGGTCTGTCAAAAGCTAGGACAAATGCCCAGGCTTTCTTTCTCGGAAGATGTATGGCCGAGGAGCCCTCTGACATTCAACCCGACCCGATGAGAATCGAACCCACACTGACCAAGTCTTCATATACATCCCTTGTGTCCCCTTATTATTTGGAGTAGGGAAGAACACCCAGATGGGAGATAATGGTTTAATCGCAAATCTCTACACAGGGTACACAGGGTGACAGGGTGACACAAACGCATGAGAAAGTTCCAGATGTCGGTAACAGAGTATGATTAAGGTTCTGACTGGGGTGATGGACCTTTATTAGAGGTGAATATAAGAGTGGAAAGGGAAATGAGAACTCACCGTCATGTTTGTGCTGCGAGGGTTTCCTTGTTGCCCAATTCGTTCGGATGTTTCGACTTCCCAACCATTGACCATTCATAGCATTGATCGCAGCCTCCGCATCCTGATCAGCAATCAAAATAATTTAACCAGGAGTTACTGAATCACTATGAATTCTGTTAATCACTATTTAAAGGGATATGTATGGGATTCAGTGTTGTCACTCCTGTTTCTTTTCTGTATCTAACAAGGAAAAATATACTGTATAAACCAGGATATTGAGGGGAGAGATTTTGAAATATTCAAAGGCTGCGCGCCTCCTCTCTCTCTTTCTCTCTTTCTCTCTCTTTCTCCTCGGTTGACTTCGATGCCTTCCTCCTTTGTGGAATAATGCAGGAAGAGTCGCACGACCATAATTCGTCGCCTATAAACGCAGACACTCAATCGAGGCGCCTCGATAAAATTCCACTCGAATTATCCTCCCTATTTCCTTCTGCATAAGCATGTGTGTTGTGCGGAGAAATGAGTTGATGGAATGCTTACGGTTTTCCTCACGAACGACACGAAGCCATAACCCTTGGGTTTGAGCGTCTGGGAATCCCGAACCACCCTGCAGTCACTGCAAAATACAGCATAAAAATATAGTATAGACAAATATGGTTTTCGCTAGACATCAATGACAAATGTGTAAGGTCTAAATTTTCACTTCATGACTACGATTGTATTTTTTTTCATGAAACATTGAATCCCTTACTCTGGAAAGCAGAGCTGAAGCAAGAACGGAATAAATGGTGTGATGGCTCACAAGATTTCCCCGAATGGAGAGAAGGCCTCCTTGAGAGTTTGCGTTTCAACGTCAGGGCTGAGGTCTCCGACGAATATGTGAAAGTGCTCTGCAAGCAAACAGCAAACGATACGACTCTTAACGTACGTCTTCTCTGCAGGACTTCTGTCCTCCGAGAGTAGCTGTCAACTGATCATGTACTGGGTTGAAAACTACGCTTCAGGGAATGAAGGAGGGGAATAGGGGGAAGGGGGAAGAGGAAAGGGGAGTAGAGTATCATGTCCCGCAGGACTCGAGGAGAACTCCATTATAATCCTCATATGAGGAGGAGCAGAGTTGTCATCTGGATGGATAAATATTGGTGCCTTGCCGTCGACATCTACTCTTTCGAATCCCCTTATGATTGTCAATGAGGAAAGAAGATTAACGTGTCAAAAACAAACGTATGTTCATCGATTTTGGAGAGGGAACGGCATACAAAGGCGAAAGGGAAGAAATCCTCCTGTCCGAGCCCCTCGTTCCTATACCTGAAGCCGAGGAAGTGATGGATGGCAGGGGTGACATGGCAGCTAATTAATTACATCATCCATTAAGACAGTGGATTCCCTCTCTGCTTAGAGCTGTTCAGATCTGAAAAGCCTGTCTCTAGGCTTGCAAAATCCCTTCCCATTCCCGCGATGCATGTACTCCATACCAAATAATAATTTACAGAAGTTTCTTTGATCTCTTAATTGAATTTCTTCATTCAAGTTCTGTGATGTTGGCTCACAGGATCTGTAGCATATCTCGAAACTGTTCGTGTCATTGTTTGGCGTGTCCGGCCTTAGCATGATCTTTTATTAAATCGTCTGTTGCTTTAGACCGAGCTTTTCACTGCTGCTGCTCTGTTTTCCAGGTTGAACTTTTTCACGACCTGTCCAGGACTTCAGGAAGTCTCATGAGTGCTTTGTGTCGCCTGGACATAGCATATACGATTTGCCTGCCTTTTGAGGCAGATTTCCAGCCGAGGTACGATGACAGATGCACTCCAAGTGCTAGCAACAAAAAATATTTGCCAGCATAATTCAGTCGTGAGAGTACTTACAATGGGCGTTTGGAACAGCGAATAGACTGCGGATGATGGAGGTGGTGGCATTGGAGCAATTTGATAGCGGAGAAAGGGGATTGGGAAGAGGATCCACGACCTTTCATTTCATTTTATTCTCAGCTCACTCTGCGACCTGCCCATATCTAACGCGTGGACAAATGTCACATTTCTTGCAAGATCCCAGCCTCTATTTTGTGCCCCTAAGTTCACTGCTTTTAGAGTTACCGTCAACCACGCGTCAGCGTTGATGCAACACAGGAGGGTTGCATTGGAATTGCTGGATTTAATATGAATTCATTCATTTTACGAAATTCAACGTCTACCATTCGAGGTCATGGGGGAAAAACACGAATTGACTTTCGTATCACACAACCCTGGGCTAATGCATTCCTGATTTATGCGCATCTATATTTTTTCCGCACGAAGGCATTAGCCCATTTATGAGGAAGTCGCGAAACGAAAATCTAATCAGTACATATTGCCATACTAGGCCTGATAATGTTCATCGTGGAATAGGATGACGAGTAATGAAAGGAAGAGAAGGGCATATACCAGCTGAAACAGGTACAGTGAGCGAGAACTTTTATCTTACAATAACATTCATTACATCTGTATTATTCTAAGGTACAGATTTAGCGCTAGGAATTCAAGTTTGCATTTAAAAAAATGCTTTAGCTTATTGTCCCAAACAGCAAGAGAATAGCTGATGCTACTGATGCAGGGGCCTCACAGATTAAGAAAGCAAGAATAAGCCGACTCTTCAAGTCTAGAACAGGAGTTTGTAAGCCCGATTGATCCGGATTAGACAGGATTTCAGAGGATTGCGGCACATGTAAGCGAATGCCCTGCGGCATTTCGTGTGCCGCATTCTCATATCGTATTTATTCCTCGCTTCTGTCACACGCCTCTCGACATCTTGTCATCGTCCGATTCAAAACACGATTAAAGAGATGACGACTTTCGACCGTCGTCTCTCAGACGTTCATGCGCCATGAACTGCACAACTTTCTCCCAACTCTGATGGGAGAAAGGGAGGGCGAATGAGAGGAGAGGATGATTGAGGATGAGGATGAGCGCACTCCACTCGAAAGAGGCAATGGTTTCAACTGTCATGAGAGACGTATAAGGCCTAGTGCCTAGCGCCTAGGGTCACTTGGGGGCCTAATATGCTTCCTCGTCCTCCCTACAGTCCCCGAACTTGACCCTTTCAGACTATCACCTCTTCGGGCCCTTTAAGGACGCTCTTCCTGGATGTCAGTTTCAGAATGACATTCAAGTTCAACAAGCCGTGCAGAAGTGGGTCCCGAAACGCGATGAAGCCTTTTACCGTGATGGTATACAATCCCTGGAACATCGTTGGCGGAAATGTTGTGAAAGAAATGGTGATTACGTGGAAAAATGACACACTGTTCCCAACATTCCAAGCAATCATGTGTACAAGTATCATGGATTAAAGGTAACTGAGCAATAAAAAAGAGGCATTGCTCTTGGGATGACCCTCGTATTTGACTCCTAGGGGGATGAGCTCTTTTGCATTTGAGAGCTAGATTTTGTTTCGAAGAACCATACGTTGACTAGCTGTATAATTTCCCATCTTCCACAACTTGAACTAGAAAAGAAAAGCCATACTTCTGGTACTTGCGAGACAACTACTACCCCAAACCTATGATTTCCTTAGCTCTAATAGCACTTGAAAAACGTGTATCTTCATGAATACCCTCTGCATATCGGTAGCAGTTACAAGTGACTGGACATCCCGTTCAGTTAGACGATGGATTATACTTATTGACGTTTGATCGGAAAAAATTGAGAAAATTGCAGATCTTGGCTCGTTGGCATTCACCAGGGCCTCACTCAACTCCGTCATTAACGTCACGGGTCACCAGCTAATGGATCTGTCACGAAGTATTCAAAGCAACTGAAGAGAATATGCAGTACAAATTAGCTGGGGCAAGAAGAGATGAAGTGAAACACATCGAACTCTGTCACTGCTCTGCTCCTGACGTTGTCTTTCTTCTCACTACGAATTATTTGATGCAAGTCGAGAAAGACTTTTAAAGAGAGTCTCCTCACAGGCGGCTGTGGATTTGCATGCAGGCACTACTGCATGGGCAAAGGCAGGGTTAGAAGCAGATCCCCCGAAGAAGAAATCGCACCCCGATAGCGCACAAGTGCAACCACTCCTTAAAGTCAGCCCAGGCAAGGACGGAAAAGTTTTAGATCAAGCCAGGGATGACAAACTCGATTAGGTTGTGAGTCGGAGGGAATCCTTTGGGGTTGGTAATAAGCCAAATTAACAAGTTCTAATTTTATTTATTAAATTTTTAATACGGGCAGGCTGCTTTTTAGCAGCGCTTTTCCAAAACTAACCTTTGAAGAGGGCTTCGCGAGCCGAACAAGACAGACCTGTCGTTGGCTTTAGTTTTAGTTTTAGATTCAGGTTTAGTATTGTGTTCAGACCTCGGTTTAGACTTACAATTATACAAATACTATACATTGTATATAGATTTATACTTATATGTTGAAGTGATGGCTTCTTTTTACCCTAAATTATAAATCATCACAGAGAAACGGAGTTGCTTGTTTCCGGCATGGCGCCAAAATTTGCCATGGCTCGTCAAGTTGGCGGCGGTGGCAGCCGGCCAAGTGGCATTAAATCTGTCAAATGTTTTTGATGTTCTCGGAGCTTCATTACACGTCTCCGATGTAAAAGACTTGGCTACATAGAATCTGCACTTACTACTCGCTGGGTTTCTCGTTTTATCACAAGCCAGGCAATTGGAACTCGCTATATAATGGCCGAAAGTTGTAAGCTGTGATGTGACATGGAACAGACCGACCGTTCGCTCCATTTAACAACATATTAAAAGGCACTGAAGCAGGCGTCCCTTTCTCTTCGAGGAACATCCATTTCGTTCACGAGGGCAGTCACAAACAATGGAGTTTGTGGAATCTGACCGGGAACGGGAAACGGGACAGCGAACGAAGACGTACAAGGCTTAACGACGGCCGTCTCCGTACTCTTCGCATAAATCTACTTAGCGAAATCCCAGCGACGTTTGTGCGAGAGAAGAGGGTATCAGGTCGTGTCGCCGTGAAGAAAAGTTGCAAAACGTGCATTTCGAACTCATCTGATCACGTAAGATGAGTTATGATCATGAAGAAATGATGACGCCAGATAATAACTGATAGGGAGATTGTAAATTTGCCCTTGTGAATCAGGAGCGACAGGAGAATGAACTACACGCCTTAAAAAAAAAATAAATGTTGACTTCAGTTTTACTTTAGTATTTCATCTATCATGGACTCCGTTACAGAGCCCTTCTAAATCGATGGGAATGGGAATGCACCGTAAAGCAAGACACAAAATCTATGGAGACATATGGACCTCGAGTTAGCCTTGGAACGGAAAAGTGATTAGAGTTGCTCTGCCCCACCGAAATGCGGAGGACGGACGGGGGGAGCTTGTCTGCGACGTCAAAGGCCATGCCGCGATTCCTGCTCCGGAAACGAGACACCGCGAACACTCTTATATCTAATGCGAGGGATTATCGATCGCCGTGGAGTAGATTTCACAGGTAAATTTAGCCGGCGAATAAAATCTGGAGAAATCGACAGCCCAGTTACGATGAAAAGCTCCACGGTCATGGTCGTACAGTTTGCTGGGGGTGTCGATTGCTATCCCTTTATTATTTTATTGCTCATATCGACGTGGGAGATGATCTTTTATTCAGAGGACCATTAGGGTTTCTCCCAGCCACGCTTTTCCCTGCCCAATTCGATCGAATACGGAACGCTGACACATGTTGTTGCACATTTCACTACATTCTTAAAAAAAAA